CCTCGCCCCTTCCCCTCTCTCTAATTCCCCCAATTCATGCATAAGCTCCCTCATTTTGACCTCTACCTTCCCGAAGACCTCCTTATTCCACCTAATAATATCTCCCTTGAGCAATTTGAGTTTCTTCGACAGACGGAATGAAGGTGACCCTGATACCCCGTAGCTTGTCCACCATTCTTTCACTTTGTCACCAAATCCTGGCACTTTCAACCATATGTTCTCGAATCGGAAGGGAGCACGCACACCCCTCACTCTGCATCCATCTAGCAAGATAAGCAAATGATCCGAAGTCAGCCTAGGTAAGGGAATCTGCAGCACATTCGGCACCAGCTCATCCCAGGAGGGCGATATCAGAAATCTATCAAGTCTAGACCTTGAGTTGGAATCCTCCGCCCTGGTCCAAGTAAACCTTTCCCCTGACAGAGGAAGATCAATGAGAAAGTGATCATTGATGAAATCAGAAAACTCCCCCATGGCCCTCGAAATCAGATTACACCCTAATCTCTCCTCTGGGAATCTAATAGTGTTAAAGTCTCCCCCTAGAACCCATGGAATGTCCCATTCCCCCATAATATTGGCCAGTTCCTCCCAGAAAGACACCTTGGGCCCTTCCCCTACCGGTCCGTCTCTGTCAGATCATAAGCAGTTTGTTTGAGAATTTCCCTTCTATAGTTCTTTCTCACTTTTCCGGTGGATTATTCTTAGGGGGGAACATATTGAACTGGATGTAGGTTGTGTGGGAATATACTGGGTATGTTGTTGTTATAGTTCTGTTTTGCTATAGTCTTTAACCAGTATCTGGAAAAACATAAAAGAGGAAGAAAAAGGTCTGGCTCTCTAACAAGTCTATTTTGCAATGTCTTAGTGACTTGTGTAGGTTACTTTGTCCTATCATTTTGTTACTTGATTATGTAGGTTACTTTGTCCTATCATTTTGTTACTTGAGGTAACCAATTTAAAGATGTATTATCTTATTATGCATCAGACCCTTGCTGCCACACACATGGAAGATAATGAACTCACAGAAAGCATGCAAAAGCTACTTGTCGTTATGCAGAGGCTAGACCAGAAAATTGGTCCAATGTTGGATGAGGACGGAGAGCTTTTCAACAAAAGGTGATTTGAAGATTTTTCTTTTGGAGTTACCTGTCTCTTCAATTCAGCTCAGATTTCTTATAGTAGTTTTATTTATGGTATCACTAGCTCTTAGTTGAGATTTTAATGTTCAGAGTGAGTCAACACTCAACATCACCTCGACCAAGTTTAACGTATAAAGGTTGAAGGAATCTTTACTTGCATATCTGCATGTTTTCTCAGATGAGCTCACAGGAATGGTTTCTTTTTCAATTGACGAATTTGGACTTGAGGGTAATCTATCTGCCTTATTTTCCCTTTCAGGTGGGGTTATCTTTCGCGTGCAGGTCTGTGGGATAAAAGCCACTTGATGCGTCAAATTGAGAAGTATGTCAATGTGTTGTGAAAATTTATGTCACTTCCCCTATTAATTGATGGTAAAAGATTTTTGTAAGTATCTGGACTGTTTTTACATCTTTTTAACTTGAAACTGCAGATATGCTGATATTTATACCTCCAGAGTTTCAAACTTCCTCCACTATACACCTTTCATGTATTTCCGTGCTCAAGAACAGGTATTCAAGGTTTGCTGGTAACTGTGCATGAAATTATGAGTGCTCTCTAGTAAATAACATCAAGCAAGATTGATTTATTTTTTAAACCTTTTACTCCCTCCGGCCCGAATTAATACGACACTCCTTCCATTTTGGAATGTTCATGAATATTTGAAACCATTCCATCTTCGGGAATAGTGAAGGTCAGTGTTGGCAAAATTTTAGTACTAAAATTGGGCTTGAGGTATGGTCTAGTGGTAAAAAGGTGTATGANCGTCTCATTCATGCTAGGAAATCTGTATTTTAAATAATAAGTGGTTGCCCCTTATATCAAGTCCAAGTTTGCTTTCAAAATGCTTACATGTAGTTGGCTGGTTGTGTTTATCTATTTCCAATTCTTGGTCATGCCTCAGAAGATTTGATCCAGGGGTAATCCAGAGTTGTCCAACAAAACCTTGGCCTTCTAGTGGTCACTATAGTAAAGGCTCACTTGTATGACACTGTGCATTTCCTGTTTCTCTACGTCTTGTCACCCGGAAAGTTTGGATAGTTATTACTTTTTGAGATGTGTTTTCTTTTCTTTGATATAATGATAGACCCACCAATAAGTTACAGAATTTATTTTTTGATGGATTAAATTACTCTCTTTGAAGGTAAGCTCTTTGCTTTACCAATTAAAAAAATAGAATAACCCTTTTGAAGTTCTGGTGTAATATAATGCCTGCAACATAGCTAGTTCTGGAACAAACCAATCCCTTGGGATAATGGCTGGACTATTTCATCGAGCTGCACTAATATTGCTCTGTAAATTTAAATGCCCCTTCCATTTCTGGCAGCTCTAGCTCCATTTAGTAGCTTATTCTTTTCATTCTTTTCTTGTTTGTTGGACGGTGAGCTTGTGGTTACAGTTCGGATTTAGTAGTCTCTGCTAATCACTGTAGTCTCTTAACATTTGGACCAACATTTTCTCTCTTTCTAATGTACTCCTTTCTTCATGCAGAATCTCGCCCATGATTCATACACATTTGACCATCTACGGCGTGATAATTAACAGGAGTGGCGAAGTCTCATTGTAGCTCTATGGCTAGTTCTCATTGTTGTATATTAGATGCTAAATTTGTCATCGGCTCTCCTCCACCCTTGTACTCCAACCCCACACCTGCTTCAACTTGCTGTTGCAGGAATCCAGTATCAGCTATCGAATGGCATAGCTATGTAATTGTACAAGTGAACAACTGAGACAGTCATAATAATCACTAGAAAAACCTAATTCATCAAAGCCGTCTTGCCAGTTCATCATATTGACTTATGTTTTAGTGAAATGTAGTTTTCTCTTTGACGTTCTCACTGCATCTGTGTTTACTACTCAGAAGACTTTTTTGGATTTGAGAACTTGCCAGATTCTATTTTAATAATATCAATGTCGACATTGTTGGTTGATGTGGAGCAGCACGGAGTTATG